GAGAGAGAGAGAGATGTTTGTTGAACACAACATTAGACATTTTTAGAAGTAGACAGCCTAATATTTAGCTTTTTCCCTAATTTTACTAGTAAGGTCGGCATGGTGGTGGTTGACTTGATGCACCTAAAATAAAAAAAAAGGGCTAGCCTAGGTTTGCTTTGTTTGGGACTTTTTGGACCAAGTTCAAGATTTCAATTCTAGACTCCCCTCAAACCATTATGTCGACCACCATGCTCAAGCCTAGAGGACTCAAAAAAACAGACTAGGTGAGCACTAGGTCGCATGTTTGGTTTTTGTAGGACATACTCTCTTAAAGTTGGACCTTTAACATCTCACATCCAAACTTATGCCTACCTTTAATCTCTCATCCAAACCAATATGTCTATTGCTAAACCGAAATCTAAGAAAGGCTATGAAACTATAGAGGCTTGATGGCCTACATCAAAATCTTCTAGATCTAGGTGGCCAATGTGTATACGCAATATTTCTTTTTTTAATTGTTTCAACTAGTCTTTTTCACTTGAGATTTTGGAAAGTTGTATCCTTGATCTAGGCGCACTAATATATATATATATATATATAAATAAATAATACACTCGCAAATATGACCAGATTGCCTTTGTGCTAGCTAGTGAATGCTAGTAGAACCGACGACCAAAACCCCTGTCCAGTCTGACATGAGCACCAAATCGGTATTTATTGAGAACAGGCCAAAACCGATGGCTGACTGGTTGAACTGGTTTGACTGCTAGTTTTGTTGGTTCTCTTGGATGAGCCCGCCCAATCTTTCCCCCCACCTCTCCTCATTCTTTGGCATGATTTTTTTTTCTTCTTTTTTGTGTATCTTTTCTGTTTTGATTCACAAGATATTTTATTTCTAATATCTTTTCAAAATCTTTAACACAAAAGATCTCAAGATTTAAATAAAAGCTTTCATTCTATTTGGTTAAAAAGGAGATTTTCTTACTTACTATTTTAGCATGCATTCTCTAATTTTTGGCTGCATTTGTCTTCTTATCTTAAAATTTTCTTTCTCTCTCTTTGGAACCACTTGTTTTCTCTCTCTTAAATGGGGGACAAGGGACACCTGGTTCTTCTTCACTGATGCACTTCCACGTTATAAATAATAATGTCTTAGGTTACATTATTTTTGGCATTAGAATCATATAATTTCCTAATAAAATCCTCCAATGTTTATTTTTAGCATAAGTTGGATTTTTTTTACAATTATTTTTGTAAAATCTCCTATTTCTAACCAAGGTTTCAATAGTTTCACCTAATATTTTCCTTTATTTTATTAAAATTTTGAAATTTAGTCAATTTTTAAATTATATATATATATATATATATATATATATAAAGGTGTGTCCGGTCACACTGCCAGTTGGACTGCTTTTAAGTGGACCAATCACTTCGTTTGTTCGTGCACAAGTCCGATCCTAATAACAGTGAGGTTGACACCTTATAAAAACCACACCCTTAGTTAAATCTCATCGTGTAAATATCACGGGTTACTTAGTAATCTCCACACTAAAAATTCCATTCAAATCATGTTGAAGAAAACCGTGATTACTTGATCATATTATGCTGTAATTATGACCTTCATGAAACTGTTATGTAACTTGAAAAAGGAAATCCAGATAACAGTGAAGCCACTTGCCTCCATACAAAGGAACGGTAGGCGTCTTAATATTCGCAAAATACTTGGGAGTTTAAAAAAAGTTTTGACAAAACAAGCAGTCACATGTCTCTTACAGTAATGATGTATATGGGAGTTTTTATTGTGATGTGAAGAATGATTTCAAATTACCATGATTACTTGATCGTATTATGCTGTAATTATTACCTTCATGAAGCTGTTATGTTACTTAAAAAAGGAAATCTGGTTAACAATGAAGTCATTTGCCTGCATACACAGGAATGGTAGACATCTGAATATTCCCAAAATACTTGGGAGTTTAAAAACTTTTGACAAAACTAGCAGTCACATGTTTCTTACAGTTGTGATATATATGGGGGCTTCTACTGAATTTGCTGAACGCGATTGGAACTACTGATTTCACTATGCATGTGCAGCTATTATAGTTAGTTAATTTATTCTGACACTTATGCTAGTGATAATTAATGGACTACCTAATAATCAACATCATGCTTATTGCATGCACATTTCCTTTAACTTTCTATTCCACATCAACTTTATAGGTCCTGCTGCTTTTAGACCGCGAGCACGTGCGGCTTCCACCTATAGTCCTTTGATAGAGAAGGGTCGGCCTGTGCTTCAAGGCCTTCTGGCTATCGACTTTTTAGCAAAGGAGGTAGTCTTTGTGCTTAGTCTCTCTCTCTCTCTTTCTCTCTCTCTCTCTCTCTTCTCTCTCTCTCTCTCTCTCTCTCTCTCTCTCTACTACTACTACTACTACTACTACTAACTAACGTAACTAACTAACTAACGTAACTAACTAACTACTACTACTTA